TGATTTTAATTAAATATTGGTAACTGGGAGGGGATGCAATGCTATATGATTTCTGCAATCAATCTCTGGTTATAGAACTTTTGAGCAGGATTGTTTTATGAACTAGATTATGGAAGGACTGACATTTTTTCATTAACCAAAAGAACACTTCTGGTCGTCTCTATCTTGAAATAAACTCGAGATGTCTATTTCGGTCAACGAAAGAGAAATCTCTGTCAATCGACACGTGGCTGATCTGAAGATGAAAAAAATCCGCGATCATCGGAATGTCAAGGTCACTAACACGAAAGGATATGCGCACGCGCATGAATTATTACTACTTAATTAACTGGTCTTGTACAGCTGTTCCCAACTCAATCATGGGAACATCTGACATCGTTATATCCATCTTACATACATATATATATATAAATACATACATACATACATACATATATATATAATTCATATGGAGTGCAAGAAGGTCATTATCACTATAAGCGTGAAAAACACGTGTCTACGAGTTGGGCGTTTATGAGCAATCATAAAGACATGAATGCCAGATGCCAGTGATGCGTTTCTTGGCTTTGTAGTGCCTGTATATACTGGATTTTATGGTAAAGAGAAGAAATAATTTTCGTTTTTTTATCTCGACATCACGGAACCATAAACAACATTACATGCAGTATATTAAAGTTCACTTTAAAGACGACGGAATTAACATAAATAGTGTTTATAGTGACATGCAAGATCGAATAGCGAGTGTGATGAGACGACAGATTTTCATCGTGACCTCTCTTACCTAAATCTTCAGTGATTAAATAAGTGAAGTGGGCTTTATGTTAATATTGTTTTATTTTTGATGTGGCCGTGTTAGCCAGGTGGTCTTAGTGCTGATATTGTTTTATTTTTGATGTGGCCGTGTTAGCCAGGTGGTCTTAGTGTTGATATTGTTTTATTTTTGATGTGGCCGTGTTAGCCAGGTGGTCTTAATGTTAATATAGTTTTATTTTCGATGTGGCCGTGTTAGCCAGGTGGTCTTAGTGTTGATATTGTTTTAATTTTGATGTGGCCGTGTTAGCCAGGTGGTCTTAGTGTTGATATTGTTTTAATTTTGATGTGGCCGTGTTAGCCAGGTGGTCTTAGTGTTGATATTGTTTTAATTTTGATGTGGCCGTGTTAGCCAGGTGGTCTTAATGTTAATATAGTTTTATTTTCGATGTGGCCGTGTTAGCCAGGTGGTATTAGTGTTGATATTGTTTTAATTTTGATGTGGCCGTGTTAGCCAGGTGGTCTTAGTGTTGATATTGTTTTAATTTTGATGTGGCCGTATTAGCCAGGTGGTCTTAGTGTTGATATTGTTTTAATTTTGATGTGGCCGTGTTAGCCAGGTGGTCTTAATGTTAATATAGTTTTATTTTTGATGTGACCGTGTTAGCCAGGTGGTCTTAGTGTTGATATTGTTTTAATTTTGATGTGGCCGTGTTAGCCAGGTGGTCTTAGTGCTGATATTGTTTTAATTTTGATGTGGCCGTGTTAGACAGGTGGTCTTAGTGTTGATATTGTTTTAATTTTGATGTGGCCGTGTTAGACAGGTGGTCTTAGTGTTGATATTGTTTTAATTTTGATGTGGCCGTGTTAGCCAGGTGGTCTTAATGTTAATATAGTTTTATTTTCGATGTGGCCGTATTAGCCAGGTGGTCTTAGTGTTGATATTGTTTTAATTTTGATGTGGCCGTGTTAGCCAGGTGGTCTTAGTGTTGATATTGTTTTAATTTTGATGTGGCCGTGTTAGCCAGGTGGTCTTAGTGTTGATATTGTTTTAATTTTGATGTGGCCGTGTTAGCCAGGTGGTCTTAATGTTAATATAGTTTTATTTTCGATGTGGCCGTGTTAGCCAGGTGGTATTAGTGTTGATATTGTTTTAATTTTGATGTGGCCGTGTTAGCCAGGTGGTCTTAGTGTTGATATTGTTTTAATTTTGATGTGGCCGTATTAGCCAGGTGGTCTTAGTGTTGATATTGTTTTAATTTTGATGTGGCCGTGTTAGCCAGGTGGTCTTAATGTTAATATAGTTTTATTTTTGATGTGGCCGTGTTAGCCAGGTGGTCTTAGTGTTGATATTGTTTTAATTTTGATGTGGCCGTGTTAGCCAGGTGGTCTTAGTGTTGATATTGTTTTAATTTTGATGTGGCCGTGTTAGCCAGGTGGTCTTAGTGTTGATATTGTTTTAATTTTGATGTGGCCGTGTTAGCCAGGTGGTCTTAGTGTTGATATTGTTTTAATTTTGATGTGGCCGTGTTAGCCAGGTGGTCTTAGTGTTGATATTGTTTTAATTTTGATGTGGTCTTGTTAGCCAGGTGGTCTTAGTGTTGATATTGTTTTAATTTTGATGTGGCCGTGTTAGCCAGGTGGTCTTAATGCTTATATTGTTTTAATTTTGATGTGGCCGTGTTAGACAGGTGGTCGTAATGCTGATATTGTTTTAATTTTAATGTGGTCGTGTTAGACAGGTGGTCTTTAGAAGAGGGTTTTACTGTGGTAACACATATTGGGATACGTACTTAACAAGAGAAAAAACGTGTGTAGTAAATATATATTCATTTCTTCTTCCTTTCCACAACTGTTGGTAATGCATAATCTCATGGATACCTTACACTTTTTTTATAAAAACAAAATAAATTCAGTGCCGACATTATGTTTTAACATGTTGATTTTATTTCACAATGAAAAAATATATATGTAGATATACAAATAGTTATATGGCTTCATAAATGCAATGAAACGGTTGTACTGATCTGTCGTCATGAAAATATTTCATCGGTACGACACCAAAGATGGAAGGAAGTAGTGAACTGGTTTATCATTATAAACGTACCGAGCGGATTGAATAGGGTTGACATCATAAATAGAAGGTGGCATTTCGATCGGTCCGGTATTATAAAAGCCTGTTAATCAAAATTCATACTATGAGGACGTGATTTATTGGTTAAGCTGAACCACGTGACCGCAAATCTACAGCAGGTTACTGGGTACAAGTTAGATAAATTCTATTAAAGTATTCTCCAACATGTATTTTGAAAAAAATCCCCCGACAGGTGACATTACACTATGTTCACGTGTCAAACTACGTACGTGCTTGTGTTTAGCACGTGCAATGCACGTATATGAAGATTCAGGAGTACCTTCACTTGATGATCTAGACGATCAACTCTTGTAATGTTTGGAATATCAAGTTAAATGTGCTGTTTCTCTTGTTGATCCGAGTTATCTTACTATTTAGATAAATGACTGATATAAACGGTTTTTTCTCGACGTCTCTTGAGTAATCCAGATATGCATATTCAAACGTAACAACGCTAATTTCAGAACGAAACAAACAAATTAAAGTCCTCTTTGCTGGTTCGATAATATCAGGAAATTGTAAACAAATAAAAATATCTCTCATTATATTTTTTTTCTTCTTTTTAAAGTCATGCATCATTGAGTACCTGATACGTCATACTCCCTTTGAAATATAAAGAGATTAGATTTTTACACAAATGAAATTACTTCCAAACCGATTTGCACGTAAATGCCTTTACGTTCGAATAATGAATACCACCGCGGTAGTAGTACTAAGAGCGTCCTAGGCCTGGCGTTCAAAGGGATTAACATCCTGGTTTTAGAGGATTACATTTCATAGCTACACTTAAAACAACATGAATTTGACGTTACGCAGATCACTTGCGCAACATGCAAAGATAATTATACTCGAAAATGGCAAACTTCCAAATGAAAACATTCATAAAGCCAAGAGTCGATAGCTATATTTATAACTTAAACGTTAAAATGTTTTTCGACTTAACAGGGTTCTCATAATTTTTACTTTGTTTTGAAGTTACAGATGATTATGACTTCGATTGCTATGGTGCACTTACACAGCTAACGATACACGTACACAGCTAACGATACACGTACACAGCTAATGATACCCGTACACAGCTAATGATACCCGTACACAGCTAACGATACACGTACACAGCTAACGATACACGTACACAGCTAATGATACCCGTACACAGCTAACGATACACGTACACAGCTAATGATACCCGTACACAGCTAATGATACACGTACACAGCTAATGATACCCGTACACAGCTAACGATACACATACACAGCTAACGATACATGTACACTGCTAATGATACACGTACACAGCTAATGATACGCATACACAGCTAACGATACATGTACACTGCTAATGATACACGTACACAGCTAATGATACCCGTACACAGCTAATGATACCCGTACACAGCTAACGATACACGTACACAGCTAACGATACCCGTACACAGCTAATGATACCCGTACACAGCTAACGATACACGTACACAGCTAATGATACCCGTACACAGCTAATGATACCCGTACACAGCTAATGATACACGTACACAGCTAATGATACCCGTACACAGCTAACGATACACATACACAGCTAACGATACATGTACACTGCTAATGATACACGTACACAGCTAATGATACGCATACATAGCTAACGATACCCGTACACAGCTAACGATACCCGTACACAGCTAATGATACACGTACACAGCTAACGATACACGTACACAGCATAACGAAACCTGCATCCGGATTTTGAGCCGTGAAAAAAATAAACTTACAATTTATCCGGAAACTTCTCGCAATTACAATTCCTCTGATGAAATCAATTCAATTTCTCTAGAAGGAGTATATGGTCTAGATTATGTAGTGATATTGAATATGGTAGTGCAGATCTGTGACAAATAGAAAAAGAAATAAAATCCAAAACACTTCCACTACGGAAATGTAGAGGAATTTGTTTTACAGCGTAGAATATATTGATATCATTGAATCTATTTTCTATATCAGTGCCAAAATTCCTTATTTTTATCGATCGATCACGTGATTAGTTATCTCAATGCTACTTTATGATATCTATTGTTGTTTTTTATTTTTTACATTTGGCTATCATCTTCTGTCTTTTCAGTAACATCAAATTTCAAATGAAAGTTCGACAGAAACGACAAACCATGCAGAATATGACACGCCCATTGAAACAATGGCTGTGTGACCATCGAGGGAACCCCTATCCCTCAAAACCGGAAAAGGAAATCCTAGCACGAGATTCTCGTATGTCTCTCGTACAAGTCTCGAACTGGTTTGCAAATGCTAGACGGCGACTGAAGAGCACAGTCAAAGGTGATGACGTCACGTGGTCCAGAAGAGTGAAATTATACAATAGCCGCGTGACGGGAAATGCCGAACTTTTAAGTGTCAGTTCAGACGACAGTTTGTTTGACTCTGACGAGGGTAAGTTATCGTATAATGTTTACTTCTTCCAAAATATTTCAGAAGTTGGGGGAGGGGTGTTATTTCTTATCCTCAACATCATTTTCTTCCAAAGAAGTGTTTTATCACCTGACAGAGTAACATACTTCGAATGTGACTATCGAGCGGCGTCTAAATCCGGAAGCCTAATTGGCCCCTGGTATTGTGACAGATCGACAATCCCCATAGAAGTTGCTATTTCCATACATCGAAAAATGTCATGCATGTATAAGATATGAAGGCTTTACAATCATTATTCATAAAGTAAACTGTATATACCATTTTTCTTTGAAAATCTTCTAATTTAGTGGCGCTCCTATCGTATAATTTGGTCACGTGATCGTTTTGTCACGTGGCCAATCATGTTGTCAGCCGAGCGTCAAACGTTCATTACTTTATAGATGTAATGTTCCCTTGAGACTTTATTAAATATATTTTTGATGTTTCCCTAACTTTATTTTCTATCTATACCCATTCCACTCACGTGTAAGGTAGAGAACTTCATTTTCTATCTATACCCATACCACTCACGTGTAAGGTAGAGAGAACTTCATTTTCTATCTATACACATTCCACTCACGTGTAAGGTAGAGAGAACTTCATTTTCTATCTATACCCATTCCACTCACGTGTAAGGTAGAGAATTTCATTTTCTATATTTACCCATTCCACTCACGTGTAAGGTAGAGAACTTCATTTTCTATATTTACCCATTCCACTCACGTGTAAGGTAGAGAACTTCATTTTCTATATTTACCCATTCCACTCACGTGTAAGGTAGAGAACTTCATTTTCTATCTATACCCATTCAACTCAGGTGTAAGGTAGAGAGAACTTCATTTTCTATCTATACCCATTCAACTCAGGTGTAAGGTAGAGAACTTCATTTTCTATCTATGCACATCTCACCCACGTGTAAGGTAGAGAACTTTATTTTCTATCTATACCCATCTCACTCACGTGTAAGGTAGAGAGAACTTCATTTTCTATCTATACACATCTCACTCACGTGTAAGGTAGAGAACTTTATTTTCTATCTATACCCATCTCACTCACGTGTAAGGTAGAGAGAACTTCATTTTCTATCTATACCCATCTCACTCACGTGTAAGGTAGAGAACTTTATTTTCTATCTATACCCATCTCACTCACGTGTAAGGTAGAGAACTTTATTTTGTATCTTTACTCATCCCACTCACGTGTAAGGTAGAGAGAACTTCATTTTCTATCTATACCCATTCCACTCACGTGTAAGGTAGAGACAACTTTATTTTCTATCTATACCCATCTCACTCACGTGTAAGGTAGAGAACTTTATTTTCGATCTATACCCATCTCACTCACGTGTAAGGTAGAGAACTTTATTTTCTATCTATACCCATCTCACTCACGTGTAAGGTAGAGAATTTTATTTTGTATCTTTACTCATCCCACTCACGTGTAAGGTAGAGAGAACTTCATTTTCTATCTATACCCATTCCATTCACGTGTAAGGTAGACAGAACTTTATTTTGTATCTTTACCCATCCCACTCACGTGTAAGGTAGAGAGAACTTTATTTTCTATCTATACCCATCTCACTCACGTGTAAGGTAGAGAACTTTATTTTCGATCTATACCCATCTCACTTACGTGTAAGGTAGAGAACTTTATTTTGTATCTTTACTCATCCCACTCACGTGTAAGGTAGAGAGAACTTCATTTTCTATCTATACCCTTTCCACTCAGGTGTAAGGTAGAGATTAGAAATAGGTAAGCTTTCTTATTTGTTATACATAATAGTCGTTGAGCGGAAGATTTTCAGTTGTCTATGCATAGTATAAAGTCATGTTGGGGCGGTGTTTTAGTATCTGTAGGCTACGTCACTGAACATTATACGGGAGGCTCGTCGCATTCCATCTAGAACTATTTAGTTGAAGTGTTCAGTGTTCCTTAGTAAAACCATGTCAGCATAGAACGGTCCGTTTCTCTAATTTCTCAAAAATACAAAACGCCTCGGACAGGGAGCGTCAAATCACACAACTCTGACCGAATGAGTTATCGCCCCTCCGTGATAAATGATAAAACTCGCTCAGTGTGATTAAAATGAAAAAAATCTAATTTACATGATTATAATTTAGAGCGCTTTGTCGGACTGTGGGTTAAGTACCATGTCTGTAGGATATGACGCTAAAACACTGAAGCCCATCACAGAAATAGGTTGTGCCAGCCCATCAATTAACAGTGGCGTTGAAAACGATCTCTATTATCTCGGTGGAAGTACATTTTTCACGGGCTGTCGTGCGTGAGGCGTCGCGGAGTGATATGATAGTGTAAATAATAATACCATATTGATTGCGTGTCGGAATAGAAATTCTGCTGGCACACAGGTTTGTTAGATATATCGACTACTGCGGCTCCTTGTCAGAGTAAAAATCATTTACCACGATCAAAATATATCAGCAGAATTGGAAAGGAGAAACTGCACTACAGATCTGACAGTAGTGACTTCGTGATAAATACCTAGAGGGCTTCCGAACGATCTTTGCCAGAGTTCCATCACATTCTCTTGAATCCATCTGTTTGCTTCGTAGATTACGAATGGACAAGAGAGAATCAGAGCGAGGTGTCCTTTGGTATGAAAAGGGAATAACTGCTGAGAAAGTGGTGTTAGATGTGTGGATTATTGTCCCAATACCAATTAATTTGAAGCTCGCGAAAGACATAAATAGTGTGCGATTGAAATCCATTTAGAATGAAAATACTACATCGTAAAGAAATGATAAATGAAACAGTTTTCTTACTACATATTAGTATATCCTTCACCAGCAGTCGAACCGCTTCGATGTCATGCGTTGTGAAATTGTATTCCCAATTGTGATTCGCCTGACAATGTTTCAGGCCATCTGCCCAACAATGTGGGTTTTACCTGGGTACAGGATCACCTACATTACCACGTTGGTTTTCCAGGGTTACTTGTTCACCCGCCCGACCATGCGGGATTTCCCTGTGGTACGGTGTCACCCGCCCGACCATGCGGGATTTCCCTGTGGTACGGTGTCATCCGCCTGACCATGCGGGATTTCCCTGTGGTACGGTGTCACCCGCCCGACCATGCGGGATTTCCCTGTGGTACGGTGTCACCCGCTCAACCATGCGGGATTTCCCTGTGGTACGGTGTCACCCGCCCAACCATGCGGGATTTCCCTGTGGTACGGTGTCACCCACCGGACCATATGGCTTTTCCCCGGATACGGTGTCACCCACCCGACCATATGGCTTTTCCCGGATACGGTGTCACCCACCCGACCATATGGCTTTTCCCGGGTACGATGTCACCCACCCGACCATATGGCTTTTCCCGGGTACGGTGTCACCCGCCCAACCATGCGGGATTTCCCTGTGGTACGGTGTCACCCGCCCAACCATGCGGGATTTCCCTGTGGTACGGTGTCACCCACCCGACCATATGGCTTTTCCCGGATACGGTGTCACCCACCCAACCATCAGGCTTTTCCCGGGTACGGTGTCACCCACCCGACCACGTGGCATTTCCCGGGTACGGTGTCACCCACCCAACCACGTGGCATTTCCCGGGTACGGTGTCACCCACCCGATCATATGGGTTTTCTACGGGTACGGAGTCACCCACCCGATCATGTTGGTTTTCTTTGGATACGCAATCACTTGCCCGACCACGTGGATTTTCCTGGGATGCCCCCGTTTCTTCTTACAAATCCCTTTGGTGCCTTTCCGTCCGGGCAATTAAAAGTGATTAAGATATATACAACTCACTTCATCATTAGTGTAGTGTTATTGATATGAAGTTAGTAATTATTGCAGCTGATATACCATAATGTTCGGGCTTTTCAGCCATGATCTCTCCTGTTCATGTAGATGTGAAAATTATTGATATTCAGAATAAAAATTCACGAATTAAAATCTAGACTTTAGGAAAAATAAAATTTGAATGTGACAACAGTTCGGTTGTATCAATAGTGACAACAGTTCGATAACCAAGTGTCTATTTGATTGCGGTGACAACAGTTCGGTCATATAGATACTTGTATGACCACAGTGTCAGAAGTTAGGTCATACAGGTACATGTACGACAACAGTGACAAAAGTTCGGTTTTAGATAGACAAAAATCTGGTTGTATAACTTTCCAGCTTTAATTTCATTTCCGAGATTAAATTACGATGCTATCGGCAAAACTTAATCTGTTTTCAAATAATGTTATGTGTGCGTGATTTAGTAGCGTTACACAAACTTAACCCAACATTTTCGTTCGGTTGAACCAAAGCTGAGAAATCTCATTTTAAACAAAGTATGAGGCTTGAATGACCTCCCGTATTGTTAGTACAACGATAAAATTCTTACGGTAAAATCTCGTTCACATATGTACATACATTTAAGTGTAATACTAAGGATTTTACTTTTTGAAAATGATATGAAATTGAACAAGCTTACCAGCTTAACTCACACAGAGGATGAAGGTATCGACATGTTTTACCAGCTATCCGCAATATGTGTTTGATGAGGAAGTTATTGATTATGTACCCTATATGTATCTCTCTAAGTCAATGTTCCATCATTAAAACGTAAATAAATAAATGAGAATGTTGTGACCAGACTCTGCAATAAGATTCGTCAACATTGTTCGATCTGATCAATTGCTTCACCCCCGCGCGCCCCCACCCCCACCCCAACCCCCTCCCCCGCGGGGAAAAGGGTAAAAAAGTTATTCTCGACACAAGAAACAGCGAATTAGTAGTGTAGATCTTCCTCGTCGATAGCTGAAACCCAGTCTTACCATCTAAGGAATTTTAGAGATATTCCGGTTATAAAACGAAATGGAATTTATTTTAAAGTTATGCTTTGTCCTTGTGTCTTAAATACGAGAAGGGTAGGGTATGTTTGAAATGGTTAACCTAACAATTATAATTTTGAGACATTTATGTTATAAATGACATAACTACAGGTGTGTTTTGGTTGTTGTTGT